GAAGAATCCTCTGGAGAGCCTGTGAAACAGTGTTGGAAGCCCTCCCCAGCAGGCCTGGGGCAGGGTTGACAATTTGCATCTCTAACTAGTTCCTGGGGGAGGAGACCAAGCCTATAGGCCCCTGGTCTGCATTTGGAGTTATCGTCTAGATTACTGATCCTCTAAGTCATGTGCACATCAGAACCACCTGGGAAAGGAGCTTTTAAAGAACTACGCACAACTAGACCGTTCCCCAGGCCCACAGGAAGAAGGATCTCTAGGAACAGGCCTAAGCCTGTAAATCTTTAAGTTTCCAGGGGCTGAAAGTGTGCACTCCACGTGGATAGCTGGAACTCCTGGTCCTCCAGTGACTCTTGGGGAGGAGTCTTAGCTGGAACAGAGAGAGGGCAGAGGCACTGTGGTGGTTTCTGGCCTTTTTCCTTCTCAATACCCTCCCCTACCACACACCCAGCAATCAGTAATGGAACCTGATAGTGAGGAAATGGGACTGGTATTTCAGACTTTCCAGGATGGGGGAGGCAGATGTCCTCTGAAAGAGCTCCAAGGCGATCCTGTTAAGGCAGCCAGGAGGATCAATCGTGAGCTCCATGGTTGTTGGTGGAGCCATGCTGGTCACCAGCAATCTTTCCCCCTGGTCCCCATATGATTGAAGCCACCAAGACCAGAGCTCCAGACTAATAGGAAGCAGAGAGCCAAGACATGGTTCCTATCCTCTCTCCTTTCCTCATAACTCCATGCTCAACCAAGCCGAGCAGCAGGCATTTGGGAAAATTCTGTGCCACGCTCTTTCTGTACCACTCTGTCTCTCAATTGCCACACACTCTGCCAAACTCTACAATTCTTTGCACCCCTCCCCCATGCCCATCTGCCCCATCTCTGCCTCTTTCTGCCATCCTCTATGTGCCCGCTTTCTCTCTGCCCCCTCCCTCTGCCTCCTGTCCCCTCCCTACCTCTCCTCTTCTGCATTTCTCTGCCCCTTCTCTGTTCCCTGTCTCTGCCCCACTGTGCCTCACTCTCAGCCCTCTTTCGATGCAACTCTCTCTGCCCCACTTTCTGCCCCATTCTTACTCTGCCCCATCTTTCCTAACCCTCTCTCTTCCCCTCCCTGAGTCTTTCTATAGCCCCTCCCTCTGGCCCCCTTTCTCTGGCCCAATTCCCTCTCTGCCCCTCTGCACCTCTCTCTGCCCTGCTCTGATTCTTTCTGCCTGCCTCACGGCTTCTCTCTACCCATTTATGACTCTCTGCCCATCTTACTCTGCTTCTCTCTGCCACCCCTTCTCTCTGTCCCCCCTTCACTCTCCCCTCCTCTCTCTAGAAACCTGCTGCGTCCCTCTCTCTGGCAAACTGTCCCATCTCTGCTCCCCTGATCCCACTTTCTGTGCCCCTCCCACCTGGCACCCTTCTCTGCCCCCTGCCAGTACTCTTCCCTGCATCTTTCTCTCCGTACTCTGTGCTATACCTCTCTATCTTCCCCCTGGGCAACCCCTCCCTACCTCTCCTACTCTGTCTCTGTGCCCATCGGTCCCCCACCCAGTCCTTGTCTCTCTCTGAATTCCCTCTCTGCAGCCCCCTACCCTCCTTTGATACCCTCTCTTACTCTTACCTCCTTCCCTCTCTCACTCTCTGCTCCTTTTGCCCGCTCTCTGCAAAAATCTCTGTCTCCTCTTTCTACACCCTTTTTTCCCACCTCCCTCTCTGTCCCGTTCTGCTCCCTCTGCCCCTCTCTCTTGGCACCTCCCTCTTTCTGCTCCCCCTGTAATTCTCCTCTTGTTCCTTCTCTCTGCCCCTACTTCTCTCTTGGCTCTGCCTCTCCTCCCCCCCAACCTTCCTCTAACCCTTTACTCCCTTTTTGCCCCCCTTTGCTGCCCCTTCTCTCTTGCCTTCCTCTACTCTCTCTGCTCTCCCTTTCTCAGCCAACCCTCACTCTGCCCTCAAAGTCTCTACCTGCCACCCACCCTCTCTTCACCATTCCCCTTCTCTGTCTGCCTTCCTCTCTGCTCTCCTCTGACCCATTCCTTCTCCATCTGTCATCCCCTTCTCTCTGCCCACCCACCAATTTCTGCCCCCATCTCTGCTGCTATCACTTTCTTCTCTCTGCCTTCCTCTCCCTGCCACCCTCCCTCTCCATACCTGGCTTTCTCTTCTTTTCTCTGCCCCCTTTCTCTCTCCATCTCTCTACCCCACCTCTGCACATTTCTCTATGCCCCCTCCTCCTTTCTGCCCCTCCCTGTCTGCCTTTCTTTCTGCCTCTTTCTCTCTGACTCTTGCTCCTCTGTCACCCTCTCTGTCCCTCCATTCTCTGCCTTTCTGCAACCCCCTCTCTCTCTGTCCCTGTCTCTCCCTGCCCCTTGGTCTGCTTCTCTCTGTCCCCTCCTCTCTCTCTCCCACGTTTACTCTCTGCCCTCCTCTCTTCAGAAATCTGCCTTCCTTCTCTCTCCTCCAAACTGAACCCCCTACTCTGCTCTTTTCCTCTGGCCTTCCCTCTCCTCCACCGGCCCCCACTTCTCTCCCTCTCTGGTATCCTTGTCTCTCCCTCTGGCCCCCTCACTCTGCCCTCACCTGTATTCCTCTCCCTCTGTCTCCCTATACCCTCTTCTCCCTTCACCTCATCTCTGCCCCTCTACCCTCTCTTCCCCTTCCACTTTTGTCTCTTCTCCTCCATCTCTCCCCTCAACCTCTCTGCCTTTCCTCCTCTCTGCTACCCACTGTTGCTTCATCTCTGCCCTCACTCAACTCCCTCTCTGTTTCTCCCCTTCTGTGTGCCTCTCTACCTCTCTGCTTCTCCCCCCTTTTGCTTCGCCCTTCTCTACTGCCCTCTGACCTCCCCTGTCTCTGCCTCTCCTCTCTCTGCCCTCAGACTCACCAGCTCTCTTTCTACAACTTCCTGTCCTCTCTCTCTCACACCCCCTCTACCTCTACTCCCTTTCTGCCTAGCCCCCCGTCTGCCTATCACCCCTCTCTCCAGAGGCTTCTTAGTGTTCTCTCTGATCTCCCTCTGCCCCTCCCCTCTCTGCATCTACTTCCCATGTCTCTGCCTCCTCTGCCCTCTGTGCCCCCTCTCCCCGACTTCTCCCTCTTCCTACGTTTCCCCTTCTTTCTGTCTCTCCCCCTCTCTTCCTCTTTACCTCTTTTTCTGTCTTTGCCTACCTACTGTGACTCTCTCCCCTCTGCTCGCCCTATCACTGCCCCCCTTTGCCTCTCTGCATCTGTCTCTGTCCTACTCTTTCTCTAACACTGCCTCCTCACTCTCTTTGCTTTTCTCTCTGCTTCTGTCTCCCTGCCCCTACATCTGCTTCCCTCTCTCTACCCCTCTGCTTCCTTCTTGATCTCCCCCTCTCTACTTCCCTTTATCTATACCCCTCTGCTCCTATCTGCCCCTTCTCTCTGTCCCACCTTTGCCTCTCTGCCAACTTTCTCTGTCTAGTCTCTTTACCATCCTCTCTTGTGATGCCCTCTCTCTGTCCCACTCTTGTGTTCCCCATCTACCCCACCCTCCTCTCATTCCTACACTCCTCTCAGCCCCCTTTCCTACTCCCCTCTGTCACTTCTGCCCCTTTCTCTGCCCCTCTCCTACCCATCTGTCTGCCTCCTTCTGCCCTTTTCTCTGCCCCTTCATCTGCCTCCTCTCTCTGCCTCTGTCCCCTCTGCCTTTCTCTGCCCCTCTCTACTCCTGTGCCCCTTTGCCTCCCTGCCCCCCTCCTCTGCCCCTTCTCTCTGCCTCTGCCCCTACTGTGCCTCTGCCCCTCTCTTTCTCTGTTCCCCTCAACCTCACTGCCCATCTCTCTGTGACACCCCTCTCTGTGCTGCTCTCTACCTTTCTCCCCCACCCCCGCTTCTCTCTGCCACTCTCTCTGCCCCATCTTTCACCCTCTCCTTCTACTTGACCCTCTCTCTCTCTGTCTCTCTCTGCTCCTCTATCTCTCCCTGTCCATCTCTCTGCTCCTGTTTCTCTCTGCCCCTCTTACTCTCTGGTCCCTCTCTGCTACTCCAACCCCTTTCTCTCTGTGTTCCCCCACCCCTTCAATCACTGCCCCTCTGCCTCTCTCTCTGCCATTCTCTCTCTGTCACTCCCTGTGTCTCTCTCTCTGTCTGGCTCTGGTTTTGTCTCTGTCTCTCTCTGATTACAGGTCCATTTCCATGGCACGATCTCCCTTCACGAGGGTAAATCCCCAAACTCCAGTTTGGATGTAGGACATGAGGAGAAAAACAGTACATGCATCATGATCTACTTTGAACTAAAATCCTCCAAGCCCAACTGGCTTAGGGAAGGGTGGTCTGTGCATGGCCTTCTTCCTTACCAGGGGCCTGTGTAATGGGATTTGGGAACTAAACCCCAGGAGACGACAAAATACTCTGCAGTTCCTATCTGCCACTGATTGGTTTTTGGATAGCCATTTCCCCAGTGACCTTGAGGTTAGAGGGGCTGTGGCCTGGGGCAGGGTGTGGAGATTCCTAGATACCCTGGTCAAATCCCCTTTTCATCACGTGCACATCACTTAGAGTAATGTTCTCAAGGTTAATCTACATTATAGAATGTGTCAAATTTCTTTCCTTTTTATGACTGAACAATATTCCATTGTATGTATCAACCACATTTGTTTATCCATTTATCTGTTGATGGACACTTGGCCTTCAATCCCATCCCCATTTACATTTCTGGCCCAGCAGGGGATTGGGAGCCAGACAGTCCCCTGCTCCCAGACAGAAAGGGAGCAAGAGAGGCAGAATGGCTGAGTACGGCCTGGGTTTGCAAGGCTGAGGAACAGGATGACTGACAAAAACCACTTGCACAAGAAAAGTAACTTTTGATGTGACGTTGTTCATTTCTAATTTTCTGCTTATATTTCTCAGTGAAATAGAATAAAAATGAATTAAATAATAGGAGTTATAATTTACACATATCTTCATTCTGAATGAACATCAAAATTTATCTACTCTTCAACTTTAAGATATGTTTGAATCAGACTATAAAGGTCAGAAATATATTTGAAATCTCTCACCTGTCTTGTCATTTGCCAAACACAATCAATAAACTGAAGAAATATTGGTGACCGGTCAGCATCTGCATGGTTGTCATTGCCATGGCCCACTCTCTGAACAGAAACAACAGGTTAAATGTTTTAATGTACACTGTGGTCCTCTCAAAAGTCACTTTGAATTAGCTGGTGACAAGAATCGTATCTCACTCATATGTCCTAAGTCCTAACAGAATTCCTGACATATAATAGGCACTTAAAAATGTTCACTGAATTGAACTGACTTTCATTACCCTTGGGAAACAAAATTTCTGTGTACTATATTTTTTATTTTTTTGTACTATATTTTTAAATGTTGATAGTTTTATAATGTTTCTTTCATATTGCTGGGATCAAGTGTTATAAGGGAACAGCCAGCATTTTTCAACGCAAATGATGGGGTCAATCCCAGCCATCACACCAAGTGCACAGTGTCACCATGAGACTACCAATTAGCAGCTCACACAACACATTATGACTGTAATTTTCTCCCTAAGTAAAAAAAAGTTTCTTCTGTTGTTCAGAAATATCAGGAAGTGTGAGAATCAAAATAATGATTAATACTATACAAATTTAAGCAATTTTACATGCCTTGGAGAACCTCAAATCTCACTCTTAAAATGGTGATGGCTAGAGTCCTTGCCCTAGGAATACAATGTTGCATCTTTTTTCAGTTTAGAGATATAGTTGATAGCTAGAATCGTACTTCAGACCTTTTGCTATTTTAGAAGATATTTATAGACTCGTACTAAAAGTAAAAAGTAATTTCAAACATATAAACAGGACTGATAAAGACACTGAAAATATGTTAAACAGCTCAAAAAGTGAGCACTGTAAGAGAAGCTTCTAATAATCTGATGAATCAAATAAACTAAGCAAACAGGAGAAAAGGAAAACACACTGTGAACATACAACATAATCACCACACATTAAGAGTAAGAAGTACTGGGTCTATGACCCTGATACCAGGAAAGTCATAAAAACAAGGAAATGACCAAGTCAGTGTCAATACCTTGGAGTAACATTGTATTGCCTTAATTGTCTTAAATTTTACTTGTGAAACATATATAACATAAAATTGACTAACTTAACCATTTTAAGCACATAGTTCAGTGGCATTAAGTACACTCACAATGTTGTGCCATTACCACCACACCAATCTCCAGAACTTTTTCATCTTCCTAAACTGAAACTCTGTCCCCATTGAAGAACAGCACCCTATTCCCCCTCTCCCTGCCCCGACAACGACCATTCTACTTTCTATGAATTTTAAAACTCTACATATAAGTAGAATCACATACTATTAGTCCTTTTGCGACTGGCTTATTACAATTAGCATAATGTCCTTAAGGTTCATCCGTGTTGTAGCATGAATCAAAATTTTCTTTCTTTTTATGACTGAACAATATTCCACTGTATATGCAGATGGAATATTTGTACATACAATGTACAATTCGTTTATCCATATTTGTTTATCCACTTATCTGTTGATGAACACTTGGGCTGCTTCCATATTTGGACTATTGTGAATACTGATGCTATGAACATGGCTATACAAATATCTGTTTGAGTTTCTGCTTTCACTTCCTTTGCATACATACCCAAGAGCAGAATTGCTGGGTATGATAATTCAACTTCTAATTTTTTGAAGAACTGTAAACTATTTTCCATAGAGGCTACATACATTGCCTTATTTCTGTGCTTCCCCTTTAAAAAATAATTCACAGAACCTGTTCTTCAATACTTAAGGCACCTAGGCAGCAATGTTACACTGACAGCTCACAATTTAGGATTCATTCTTCCTTTTAATAGACATTCACTGAACTCCTACAGTGTATATGTAACACATCTTGCCTGTTGCTCGGGATTTCAGGCATTTTCATGGTGTCTAGTAGAGGTCAGGCCTTTGGCTAGACACCTGGGTATGAAGACAAATGAGACACAGTACCTGTGCTTTATGAATAATTTATTTATGTTCTAGTCATGGGAGAAAGACCTAGAAATAACAAGGGCACTACAGTGTTTCAGGCGGTATGGTGGGGCCACAAAGGAGTAAGCGGCCATCTTAAGATGGGGTGGAGGAGAGAAGGAGGAGGGAAAGTCACAAAAGTCAGTCATGGAGGAGGTCTCATTTGAGCTAAACCTTGAAGGACAGGAAGATGACTATTTCCTGGCTAGCCAGGGGGACATTATGTCAGAAGCAGTGGGGGCACCATGAGTGCCACTATTGGCTGTGAAGAGAAGAGGCTCAGAGAATGAAGCAAAGGAAGGGAGGCAAAATGTGGCTGAAAAGGAGGACTAGGGCCAGATCACCAAATGCCTCAAATGCTTCGCTGAGGAGTTTGCCCACAATCCCATAGGCCATAGGAAGGCTCTGAGGGATTCACACTGGGGAGTGGCACCATAAGATTTGCTTCTCAGAAAGCTCCATCTGCCTGCAGTAAGGATGATGGATTAGAAGCGTATAGGCAACAGAGAGGCTAGTTAAGAGACTACATAATATAGTCGCAAGGAAAGTGGCCGGGCTTGATTTAAGGGGGCATCAGTGGTAATGGCAAGACTAAATATTTGAAATAAATGTACTTAGTCATGGGACTAGCTGATATCACTAAGAGATTAAGCACAGAAAATGGAAATGATCCAAGGAGTGAACCCTGGAGAACCCCAAAATTAAGAGGTTGGGGAAAGAAGTAGGATCAGAATGTAGGAGGAAATTCAAGTTTATGCAGATCTAGAAGCAAGTGAAGAAAGTGTGACTATCATTGATGACTATGACAAGAGCAGTTTTGAGGAATGGGTGTTGTGAGGAGGAAGTCTGGCTGAAGTGGTTTAAAGAGGGACCCAAAGGAGCAAAATTGATAGTTTGTGTGGACAACAGCTTTTGATAAGGGAAGAAGCAACAAAGGAGTTTTTGATAATGCTTAAAATAGTAACAGGAGCTAAAACTTACCCATACAACATGGGCCAGGCACTGTCCTAAACACCTAATACATATAAACTCATTTCCACCCTACAGCACTCCATTTCAGAGAAAGGAAACCAAGGCGCAGAGAGTGAAGGCATGTATCTAAGGATCTGACAACAGCTTCTGAAGGGATGGGGAGGCTGTGGAACTTCCCTTCCCTCTCCTCCCTGAAAGTGCAGCACAGCGGGTGCACTCAGAACCCTCAAGGCTAAAGCCATTTAAAGTCCTCAAACTGCCCATCCTTGTGCCTTCCACAAGTGACTCTGAATGGGATTCTGGGAGTATTCTGATTCAACACAAGTTTCAGACAGAATTCCCAACAGTTCAGCAGCCTGAAAGACCAAGAATTAGCTGCCATTTTGGACTAAAAAAAAAAAAAACCCAACTCAGCCTTAGAATGCCCTTCCAGATGATCCAGCAATCCCACTCACAGATATATACCCAAAAGTAAAAGCAGGCTGTTATGGGCTGAGTTGTATACCCCCTCCAATTTTGTATGTTAAAGTCCTAACCCGTACTAATATTAGAATGTGACTGTATTTGGAGACAGGGTATTTAAAGAGATAATTTAAAGGGGTAATTAAGTTTAAATAAGGTCATTAGAGTGGGTCCTACTCCAGTCTAACTAGTGTCCTTATAAGAAGAAGAAATTTGGACAGATACATACAGAGACAAGACAATGTAAAGACACAGAAAGAAGGCAGACATCTACAAGGTAAGGTGAGAGGCCTCAGGAGAAACCCACCCTGTTACATTCTTGATCTTGGACTTTTAGCCTCCAGAACTGTAAGAGAAATTTCTGTTGTTTAAACTATCCAGTCTGTGATACTTTGTATGGCAAAAACTTTTACACCAATGTTCACATCACAGCAGTGTTATTCACAATAGCCAACAATCTAAGTATCTATCAACAGATGAATAAACAAAATGTGGTCTATATATACAATGGAGTAAGTGCTATTCAGCCATGAAAATGAATTAAATTGATGTATGCTACAACATGGATGAAACTTGAAAACATTATGCTTAATGAAACAAGCCAGCCACAGAAAAACAAATTTTGTATAATTCCACTTATACCCGGTATCTAGAATACGCAATTCATAGAGACAGAAAGCAGATTAGTGGTTGCCAAGAGCTGAGGGAGGAAGGAATGGGAGTGACTCCTTAGTGTGTCACTACCTTGTGTCCCACAAGGTTTCCTTTCAAGATGATGGAAATGTTTTAGAACTAGATACAGGTAGTGATTGTACAATATTGTGAATGTACTAAATGCCACCAAACTGTACACTTCAAATGGTTAATTTTATATTACATGAATTTTACCTCAACTTTTATTTTTAAAAGTCATACATATACTAACAAAAGGGATGTGAGGGTGATCTGGCTGCAACATCTGTCACCCCACTGATCACCAGGGTTGATTTGGTTGATCTGGCTGGCTAGGCAGGTGTCCCCTTCCTCCCTCACTGATCCATGTGCATCCCTCCCGAAGCTGCACACTCAGTCAAAGAGGACAACCTTCCCAACTAGAGGAGAGGACCGGTCTTCGGTCAAGGGTATACGAGTAGCTGCGCTCCCCTGCTAGAACCTCCAAACAAGCTATACTGGTACATAGTATTATATTATGGCAGTTCAGGTCTGATACAGAGCAAAAAGCCTGTGTACATGTATACATGTGTATGTATGCATGTTCTGTGATATACACATGCATATGCTAGAGCAAAACAGTCAAAGCACGGATCTGTTTCAACTTACCAGTGCAAACCTATGTCCAAAACTTATCCACTCCTTTTCTATGAGAATCTCGAATCCTTTAATGGTGCGGTAATAACTGTCCAGCATCAGCATAGCCAGAGATGTCAGCTGTGCTGTTCGATCCCAACCATCACTGCAATGGACCACCACTGAGGTTTTCCCAGATTCTATTTTATCAGCAATTCGCACTGCCCCAGCAAGAAGCATCTTCAGAAAAGAAGGTACATTAGACCAAGCAACATTTAATTTCTATTGTAGTAAAAATAATTCTGGAAAAGAATGTGGGCAGTTCAGATCAATACATCAAACAAGAATGCAATCAACTGAAAACCACTACAAAACATAAGCAACATTGGGGGTGGGTGCTTATACTAAGAAAAATGACAGCAGTAAATAAGGTCCTTTATTAAAATGGCCAAAAAGTATTCAATACTTTAAAAACCTGATGTAAGACAAACAGTATCCCTTTTTATTCTATCACAAAATCCCATGGAAACCAAGAAAGGCCAGGTACACATACTTATTTGCAATGTTGAAAAGCTACCTGGATACAGATTTATGCCACTGACACAGAGAAATCTTATCCAGAAAGCATGTAAAGGACTGGTCCTCTTTACCCTTATATACTCCAGCCAATGTGTTCCATCCACGTTGGATAGCCACCGTGTCTCATCAATTGAAGGGTACACGATCTCTTTTAATTTACGTAGTGACTCTCTCATCACATGAATGTTATGGATCTCTAAGAACACAAGTTCCGCATTCGGGTAAGCACTTTCACTTTCATATCCTCCACCCTTTGCCTATGAAAGACAAGAGAGAGGCATCACTTCATCTGAGTTAACTTTTCTGTTCTCTCTGGTATTACCAAATAGAGACCATTTAAAGATGCAACAAACATCTGTTTATTATAAACCTCCTACATCTTTTGTATGAGTTTCCTGTGGCCACTGGAACAAAAGCACCACAAACTGAGTGGCTTCTCTCACAGTGCTGGAGGTGGGAAGTCCAAAATCAAGATATTGGTAGGACCATGCTCCCTCAGAACTCTCTAGGGGAGAGTTCTTTGCCTTTTCCAACTGCTGGTGGTCCCAGATGTTCCTAATTTATAGACACATTACTCTAATCTCTGGCTCATCATCACATGGCCTTTTCCTTTGGTTTGTGTCTCTGCTCTTCTTATATGGACACGAGTCAGAGTGGATGAGGGCCCACCCTAATGGAATATGACCTTGTCATAACTTGATTACATTTGCAAAGACCCTATTTCAAAATACGGCCACATTCACAGATATCAGGGGGTTAGGACTTCAACATATTTTTTTTCATTTTTTAAAAAGTTTTTATGTATTTATTTTTAGAGACAGGGGAAGGGAGGGTGAAAGAGAGGGAGAGAAACATCAATCAGTTGCCTCTCTCATGCCCCCAACAGGGAACCTGGCCGGGAACCTGGCCTGCAACTGAGGCATCTGCCCTGACCAGGAATTGAATGGGTGACCCTTTGGTTTGCAGGCTGGCACTCAATCCACTGATCTGCACCAGCCAGGGCCAACATATTTTTTAAATGGAAACCCATAACAATCCTCCATCACCCAACATTAATTTTCAAAGCATTAAGAAAAGGATCTTACTCAAAGCAATTTAGGTTTAAAAAGTTCTGTTTTTTTTTTAATTTATTTATTTTTAGAGGGGAAGGGAAGGAGAGAGGGAGAGAAGTATCAATGTACGGTTGCCTTTCATGCGTCCCCTGCTGGGAAGTGGCCTGCAGGGAACCGGTCTGCAACCTGGGTATGTGCCCTGACTGGGAATCGAACCGCGATTGTAAAAAGTTCTGTTATTGCCATCTGACTGAATACAAAAAGTTGTACTACCACCAAAAATTTTTTTAAATGTACTTTCATTACATTGAAAAAATAGTATATAAGAACACCAGAACCAAGAGAATTATTGATATGGAAATTAAAACAAAATGAGACCCCTCCCTCACTCCCTTTTTTCTTTCTTTAAAATATATTTCATTATGCTATTACAGTTGTCCCATTTTTTCTCCCCTTTATTTCCCTCTGCCCTGCACCCCGCTCCCACTAACATGCCCCCCATTAGATCAAGTCCATGGCTTGCACATTTATTTGGCTTCTCCATTTCCTAAACTACTTTTAACCTACCCCTATTTTCTAACTACCATTTATGCTACTTATTCCCTCACACCTTTCCCCCCGTTCTTCCCCTACCTCCTCCCTGCTGATAACCCTCCATGTGATCTCCACTTCTGTGATTCTGTTCCTGTTCTAGTTGTTTGCTTAGATCGTTTCTGTGTTTTAGACTCAGTTGTTGATAACTGTGAGTTTGTTGTCATTTTACTCTTCATAGTTTTGATCTTTTATTTCTTAGGTACGTCCCTTTAACATTTCATATAAAAAGGGCCTGGTGATGATGAACTCCTTGAACTTGAGGTTATCTGGGAAGCACTTTATCTGCCCTTCCATTCTAAATGAAAGCTTTGCTGGATAGAGCAATCTTGGATGGAGGTCCTTGCCTTTCAGGACTTTGAATACTTCTTTCCAGCCTCATCTTGCCTGCAAGGTTTCTTATGAGAAATCAGCTGAGAGTCTAATGGGAACTCCTTCATAGGCAACTGTCCTTTTCTCTTACTACTTTTAAGATTCTCTCCTCTTTAATCTTGGCTAATGTAATTATGATGTGCTTTGGTGTGTGCTTCCTTGGGTCCCACTGCTTTGGGACTTTCTGAACTTTCTGGAAGTCTATTTCCTTTGCCAGATTGGGGAAGTTCTCCTTTATTATTTTTCAAGTAAGTTTTCAATTTCTGGTTCCTTCTCTTCTCTTTCTAACACACCTATAATTCGGATGTTGAAACATTTAAAGTTGTCCCAGAGGTTCCTAAGCTTGTCTTCATTTCTTTGAATTTTTGTTTCTTCATTGTGTTCTGCTTGAATGTTTTTTTTCCTTCTGCTCCAAATCATTGAGCCTCAGTTTCCTCCCTTTCACCGTTGGTTCCCTGTTCATTTTCCTTTATTCTGCTTTGCATAGCCTTCACCTTTTCCTCTGTTTTGTGACCATACTCAATAATTTCTATGAGCATCCTGATTATGAGTGTTTTGAACTCTGCATCTAATAGGTTGGCTTTCTCTTCACCACTTAGTTCTACTTTGGGAGCTTTGACCTGTTCTTTCATTTGGGCCATATTTCTTTTGTCTTGGTGTACCTGTTATGTTGTAAAGGGGCAGAGACTTAGGTATTTGCTAGGGCAGGGCAACCGACATTGCTGCATTGTGGTGCTATATGTGGGGAAGGAGTCAGAGAGGGAACAATGGCAGTCACTGGCTCTCGGCCAGCTTCAGTCACTTCACTGGCTACCCACAAGCAAATTGGGCCCTTCTGGTGTTGATTCCTGGGTGGGTGAGTTTGTGTATGTTCTAGGATCCTGTGAATCTCTCCAACAAACTCTCCGGTGGGGCTGGGAGTTTCTCCTGCTGCTACAACCCCCACATGTTTTTATAGCCAGAGGTTTTAAGGCTTTATTTCCCCACACTGGAAAGCTGGGTTGCACAGTCCTTTTCACTCCCCAGTTGTTCCTCCTGGTTTATCCTCACACAAATGTGGGACTGCATGGTCTACCAGCAGCCACCTTGTCCACCCTGGTCCACTAGCCACTGCCTCACCCTACTGGTCCTCCAGCCACCACCTTGCCTCTCTGCCCCAGCTGCCCATCTCCACCCCTCCTACCAGTCTGAATGAATTTTTTTTTAACTCCTTGGTTGTCCGACTTCCATACAGTTTGATTGTCTGGCAGTTCTGGAGTTTTTTGTTTTTAAATTTGTTGTTGTCCTTCTTTTGGTTGTATGAGGAGGAAAAATGTATCTACTTATGCCTCCGTCTTGACTGGAAGTCTACTACTAGAAAATTTCTGTACAAGAAAACAGTTTGTAAATCCCTAACACTGAGATTTATTTAAACAATTTTAATAAGTTAAAATGCAAATGTAGCCCTGGCTGGTGTAGCTCAGTGGATTGAGCACGGGCCTGTGAACCAGAAAATCGCGGTTCGATTCCCAGTCAGGGCAGATGCCTGGGTTGCAGACCAGTTCCCTGCAGGCCAATTCCCAGCAGGGGATGCATGAAAGGCAACCATACATTGATGTTTCTCTCCCTCTCTCTTTCCCTTCCCCTCTAAAGATAAATAAATAAAATCTTAAAAAAAATGCAAATGTAATTGAAAAGGGGGGTGTAATTCAGCCCTTGATTATCTCATAACAAAATCTGATCTATCTTTTATTTTGTAGAGATCAACAATCAAAACACATTTGTACTAAAAATGTAGAAAAACTGAAATCTTAATACACTGCTAGTAAGAATTAAAATTGTGTAGTCTATGGAAGAAAATTTGGTGGTTCCTCAAAAAGTTGAATATGAAATCACCGTATGACATAGCAATTGCAGTCACACAGAATTGAACAAAAACTTGTATATGAATGATCACATCTGTAGTATTCACAATAGCCAAAAGGTAGATACAACCCAAAAGTTCATTAATGGGTGAATGGATAAAGAAATTGTGGTCTAACTACATAATGGAATGTTTTTCAGCTATACAAAGGAATTAAGTACTGTTTCATGGTACAACATGAATGAACCTTGAAAATATTACATTTTAAGTTAAAGATGCCAGGGATAAAAGACCACATATTGTATGGTCCCACTTATATGCAATGTCCAGAATAAGGGAATCTATATAGAAAGTAAATTAGTGGTTGCCAGGGGCTGGAGCAGGGGAAAGAATAGGCAGTGACTGCCAGAGTTTCCATTTGGGGCTATGGAAGCACTCAGGAATTAGAACTGCTGAATCACATTGTGAATACACTGGAAGTCATTGAATTGTAAAACTTCAGAATGGTTAAAATGGCAAGTTTTATGTTATGTGAATTTTATATCAATAAAAACAATAAATACACCTGTCAATCCAAAGATCACACTCATCATTACAAAATGAGTAATGATTACCCGCTTACTAGTTACCATTACCAAGTGGGTACTAATGCTTGGCCCTGAGCTAAATACTGGAGTAATAATTATGAACAATTGTAGACAATGGTTCTCAAGGCCCTCAAAATCTAGTGCAGTAAGTGGGGGAGGAGAGGTGTGCATTCAGAACAGGGGGCAAGTCCTTTGCTGTAGCAGAGCACAAGCCTGCCAGGGTAGGTAAAAGAGACATCTACACTGAGAGGAGAAGACAAGTCAGGAAAGCTTTACTGTGGGGAAGAAGGTCAAATCACTCAAGGAGGAGGGCCCATTGTGTCTAGATGACCAGAGATGGGCAAGGATGTGACCCCCCAAGAGGCAGGTAAGAAGTTCAGCAGAGAACAGCAGGGCAGTGGCAAGAAAGGGAGAGAGGTGGCCCTGGTGGTGAGGCTCTAGATCAGACCAGCACTGTAGAATAATAACTGGCTACATGGGGCAGAAGGGACTGGAGCAGGGTGGGACCTGTGCAGGTGGACCAGCTCAGAGACAGGCAGTCATTTGTTTGAAGGAATCGGTGATGGAGGCAGCAGGAAAGAGACATGCACTTGATTTGAGATACTTAAGAGGCAGGACATGGTGGCTGATTGGGGCAATGAAATTGGGTAGCAGAGGAAGTGACAGTGATGATTCTGGACTGGGTGGCCTGAGAAGGTAGTTATCATTTACTGGGATACCAACTATTGGAGAAGAGTGTCTGGCTTTGAGCATAGTGAGCACAAAATGCCTGTGAGAAATTCAACTGGAGAGGTCTGCAGGCCATTGGGTAC